TTCCTTCCTTACAGGTAAGCTAGGCAAAAAAAAAGCAGGGAGAGGAAGAGCGACTGGCCAATTGTATGGAGACATGTTGTACAGATCAAGGCCGCGGTGAACACTGATATTCTTCCCAGTGTCTGTAAGTCATTAAAATTCCTACACCCTGTTCTCATAAGAAAAAAAGAATCGACAAAGGCACAACAGGAATCTATTCTCTTGATAGCAATCTAATAATAAAAGAAAACGTTCTGAACCATTCTCATTACTGCTTGGAAACTTTAGTCTTGTGGACTTCAGTTTCTGTCCATGAAAACCTTCAGATCTCTTTATAAGCTATAGAAAGTGAAGGGAATATTTGTACTTTAATTATACATCTAAGCATTTTGGACAGTCAGACCCACTTTGGAATGGTATTGTGATGTCTAAATGAAGGGCTCGTCCAGTGATATAAGACACTGCCTCAACATACTGATAGTTTGTCATAGGGCATTCATATGTATTATGTAGAGAATGGGAAATCTGAGAAGGAAAGACTTCCCTGTATTAAATTTTCTCTGTATTGCAAGTAATCACTTGTGGAAAACACTGGTCAGATTTTCTGTTGTTGGTTTCTCTCTTTAATGATCGTGCTGTTTATACTTAAGTGTGTCAAGTCCAGCACCATGAAGTCAAGCCCTCTGCATTCTCTTTCTTAAAGCGAAGAAATGCTATGAACCAAGAGCAATACTTTCAATGGCAGTCATGCCATCTGTTTCATGTATAACTAAGACGAAGCAGAGAGGGAATTAACTTTGTAGAAGCACCAAATGACCAAAGGGATAGGAGGTAACAGAGTAAAAATTAATTTTGCCTTTCTCCTTCCTCCACCAACTATTGAGACGCCTTCAGGACGACCTCTGGAAGCCCAGATGTTTTAAAGAGAACTGAAACATTTACATATAAGAATCACTCAAAAGATCAATTGCTCTGCAAAAGGCAATGGCATCCTCAGAAAAAAGACGGTCTGTTCCATATGAAATGTGAAACAATTTCACAATAAAGTATTGTATGTAACTCAATACAGAAACGAAGTCCATGTGGCAAACTTTTATACCGCATTGTTGATTATTATGAACTGTAATTTATATACAAGAGAATATGCTTCAGAAAAGTACTAAGAATTGACTAGATTATAAAGAGGCTTAACTAAATAAATATAATGTTACGTTCACTAAGCCTTATAACAAATAATGGATAACAAAAGGGCATATTCATCTACTTTTCTTACATTACAGTCACTAAAGATAAATACACCAGAAAACAAAACAAAATGACCTGTTTAGATCTTAACAGCTTGAACCATAAGCCTACAGACTGCCATGTTTTTAAGAAAACCATCTTTAGCTGCAGATTTTATATGGTAATTGTACACAACCAGTTTATGAATAACAACAGCAGAGTTTTTCCCTTCTGATTTCAGAGCCACTTGAGCTATGCAGATTTCAAAAAGCTTATGAATATACAGATAAACACAGAATTGTTCTGAACATCTGTAAGCAAAATATGAAAAGATGTTTCATAGTGAACGAACATCCTGGGTTGTCTAATGCTGGCCAAAAATGGTGTATTTATGTATCGGGCTAATGCACCGAAAATAGCTCAAAATCCTTCACCCACTCCAGAATGCCTTTTCAGATTTTCATCTGTATGGTCGTCACCACAAAATGTAAAAATAATTCTCCAGCACTGTATTCATAAGCTTCAAAATAGCTCAATTATCTCTTAAACATCAATTTAACAAGGCAATACCACATCAACTGATAGGAGAATCTTCATAACAACCTATTACACGTCTGAATAGGATAACACTTATCTGACCCTTAAAAGCAGAATCATGACTTTCCTACCTCCCCCACAGTGAGGTGAATTATGATACTCTTCAAGGCTTATGAGGTTGGAGGTTTGCCCTTACAGGCTTAAATTTTCATAAGTTATCGAACAACATGTTGCAGCAGTATAGTCATCAACTGACCACTGTAATAGAAATGGTGTCCCCCTACTTAGCTTAATAGCAAGTCTGTAGCTGACCTTTGCTTATCAGTGGAGTCCACCAGGTAAAGATAGTGGTAGCAGACTGGAACACTAGTGGTGTGGAAAACAGACCTGAATTCATTTGATAATCACACAACTTTTCTTTCAAGAACGTATACTAAAACCTTGAAGAAGACATAAAAACCCTAAGCTTTTTCTTGTTAGCCATATAATATGTTTACTCAATGCCAACAGAATTATTCTAAATAGTGAATCAGAATAACAAATTGAATACGATACGCTCCAAGCCTCTGTCTCGGTAATTCCTCAACTACCTTGTGTTTAAACACAGATGTGAGTGCCATGCTACTTTTTAAGATCAATTATATTTAAGGCAGTTCACTCCACAGAGAGGTCTCCAAACAAGATGTTATTTATTATGATTGTGGAACATCCTAAACACACAAGAACAGAAAAGCCTTGAATTAGTTGCTCACACATGGACCTTGAGTTCCATCTGAGATGTCCAAGGACATTTGGGACCATCACAAAAGCTATCAATCAGATGTGACTACAGAATGGCAAGTGACTCAGACATCTCAAATGGCACTAAATCCTGTGTTTCGGTAACTGAACCAAAAGCCATCATAGGCTGAATTGTTTTGAGTGAGCTTAATGTGGGGAAAAGAGTAAACCCATATCATTTTGCCTAAGGTCTAGCTGCTGGTCTGCCTTTGGAAGGGGCACTAAATGTTTAATCCAAAGTATAGTTGCTCCTTTTCTTCAGAGTACAGAGCTAGGAAGGTGCCAGACTAAAATAATTTTCAAGCATAGGTTTCTCAAGACTGCATGGGTTGAAAGCAAAGCTCAAAGACTTGCCAAGAGGATACTGCTTAGGTGGCATTGATGTCCCTTCTAGAACTGGATTTAAAGAAAATGTCTATTAAGCATTCTCTACGGATATGACCTTGCTATAACAGATGAAGCAATCACTGCGTAACTGAAGTGTGCTGATCTCATAAATACCATTCTTCCCAGTGAAAACTATGGTAGCCAGAAGAAGCCAGATGGCAATATCTGAGGGGAGCTTGTGAGAACTCTCCCTAAAGAGACTTCTAAAAAGTACGTTCAAAAATGAAAATGATTCTACCAAAAAAAAAGAATAACACCAGAATAAGATAGGGCTAGAGGAAGCTAAGAAGGAAGAAAAAATGGTCATGCAGAAATCAGTAAATTCTCCAATTCAGCTCAGCTGCACAACTAAGAAAAGAAACTGTGTAGTGCATACACATCCCATTTATGTTCACACAGACAAGGTTATGAAGTATGTGCTTATCTTCCTGGATATCTCTGAGCAAAAAAAAAATCCTTCACTGTCCAGTATCTGGAGGTATATAAACATCCATAATGCGAATGTACATAAAAAGCGCTAGAAAAATAACTTCAGCTATGTTTTTGCACTACGTATCTAACTAAAGAATTATCAGCAAATAGAGTTCAAAGATTTTTCCCATTTCTTTGTTCCAACTAAATAAAATTAAATTAGGAAGGAAATAAATTCCTTACTATTTAATTACCACTTTTTGTTCACTATTTATGAAATACCAGGCATAAAAAGCTTCAAAAAGTTTTGAAAGTGTCTCAGTCAAACGTAAAGCACACAATAACACAGACCCATTCTGAAATATAAAACCAGCCTACATCGCACAGAATGAAAAGACAGTACCTTGTTTTTCACTTCCCTAGTTATACCTTGTCCTCCGTTCACATCACCTCTTGGCCCATAGCCAGCTCTATCTTCAGAGGAACGCTCAATATTCCATCAAAACTATCCTCAGCATACCTGACCTGTGAGCGTGTTGGGAAAGAGAAATTGTACCGTGCATCCCTATTCTATATAAAAAATCTAATTATTTAACGCGCTGGCCATGAAACAGAGAGGACAAAAATTGCCAGATAGGCAAGGGACTATATATACTCATGAAAATGCTACATACTGCAGGGCAATTACGAATCAAATCCAAAGTATAAGAGTGTGGAAGTATTAAGAAGTAATGGATGATTTCAATAAATATGAGTGGCATCACTGATCCATCCACTAGTGACACTTCTCCTTGTTATTATGCTTTTCAGCAGCTGTAGGTATCTATGAATCAGTCAGTCCTTAAAGGCATGATGATCTTTATTTCGTTTGAGATGTTTTGAAATTTCAGTTACACTAAGTATTTACATTCAAGACCATGCATACTACTAAGAGTTACCATAGGAAATTCTCTTTAAATCTATATATTTTCTTTTGCATTTATAAGGCAATTTCTTACGAGTTCAGCATCATCTATGGAATATCACTTTAAAACATCTCTTCTCACATTTTTTACTATTTCCAGAAAGTTTCTGCATCTCTAGGTGCCTTGCAGCACTTATCCACAGTTGCTAAAGTGTCCATTATTTGTTTGTGCTGCTGAACTTTTTACTCGCCTTCTCTCAAACCTAGGAGACAGATTGTCAGTAAGAATGGCACAACAACTTCAGCAGTTGGCATAAAAAGTGTTAACAAGAAAATAAACCGAAAGAAAACCTCTAAGCTGTTCTCTACCAGTAAGCATAGGAAAGCACGAATTTGCTTTAACAGCAGCCTTAGTCAGTTGGCTGCCAGTGGTTCTATGTTTTAGATGACAGAAAGAAACTGTAGTGGGTTATTCGAGGCATTTTTATAAAGAACATATTTGCCTAAGTTGAAATAGAATCCATTTCCCGAGGATGTATATAACAACACAATAAGCAAAGAAGAAAATGCAAACCTTGTATTTTTTCATTTTCCTCAGAATCTATGTGCATACATTAATCATCAATTAACAGATGATAACGCGATGCATTTTATATTGCAAGTTCAGTATATACACAGTCTCTGTAGTTACTGCAATCACTCTTACTGCTCTTCAGTGCTGTTCACAATCTGACGGGATTCTACTCACAGAGCTTAAAAAACAAATAGAAAGACTTACCTGAACAGACTTCTTTGTAGGTAGGATTTGGGGTATACCCTCCTGCATAACCCACTTGAGTGGAGTAGACTCCCTTCTGTCTCCAAAACTTTCTCTCAGCTCCCCAGAAACAGCCCATACCTGAATATTGTGTGAAGCACATAGCATTATGTCAAAATCTGATCAATACTAAATCGTTTATTTGCATATTAATTGATATAGCCTGCACTAGAAGTAATGTCTGTAACCGGCATGTGGTTGAACGTTTCCCAAGATTATGCATGGAGTAACTACACTGGGAAATGCATTCTGCATCAATGAACAACTCAGATAAAGCTTTATTTTAATAATGCTTCTGAATATTAACATACCACAGAAGACAAATCCTCTAAGGGTTCAAAGGCCCAAACAAGGTGAATCCTCATGCACATTAAAAAAAAAAAGTTACTTAAAAGGCAATTGCGCGTACTTGTACAGCACCATTTTTACTTTAGTTGATTAGCAAGCTGTCAAAACACAATGATTTGTATTAATGGCAAACAGTTATTTAATTTTCTGCTTTCAGGCATATGCAGTCTTTAAAGGTGGCAGTAATAATGGATTAAATTATATGCTATACAGGAGGAAAAATGCTTTGGTTTAACAATTTATGCATGCAGATATTCGATGTTCAGACAAAATTCAGGTACTCATTCACCCACGTGGTCAACTATCAAAGGATAGCAGATCCTCAGCAGGTGTAAATCAGCAAAACTCTCCTGGTAATAGCAGTCAAGTGCATTATATGAATGCCCGTGACAAGGTATAAACAAGACCAAAATTCACAGTTCTCTGATGGCTTAAATAGTGAAGAGAAGTTAGTTACTATTTGGAGGGCTCTCCAGAACCGAAACATGTCATCTGCACTCTAATATTATCTAACTTATCCCTGATTATGGGCAATGTATTTTCTCTTTCCGTCATAATTTACTTCCTTTTCTTATTCTCATACTAACCTACTTGAAATAAAAGGCGGTATAAGATAAACTAAATATCAGTTACGCTTAGAAATCAATGACCCGTGATGGGTTCTCTATTGATATTAGTGCAGACATTTTGGGTTAAAAAATTACAGAAGTCTTCCTTTGAAGTACAACCAAAAGAACAAAGCAGTCCCTTCTATCAACTATGATGGCTCACAAAGGCATATCCTTTCTTTGAAACTTCAGATGTTAACTTCAAACAAAAGTAACTTATTTTTGACCAACTCCTGCCTCTGTTTTGAGTTATAATGCACCAAAAATACAGAAGTAATGACTCAGATTTCTCCTTCTAATTCAGGTGCTCATGCAAGACACATGAATTACGATCCTAGACTGCTCTTGGAGACCATGGAAAGAGGCAGGCATCTCTTGAGGGCAACGCGGCCCACAGAAGTTCTAAATTGCCAGTCTAATTACAGTCGTTCTCCCTTGGCTACAGAGATAGCTAAGGCTATTAGGCTTGGGGTCCTCAGTTAAATTAGGCTGGTGGCAGACTGCCGTAGGACCTCTCTTGCAATTCCTTCTCTGTTTTGCAGAAAGAACAATTGAAAATTCCTATCTGAGAGAAATTTTTCAGTCACTCACCTACCTAATAGTGATTTAAACTAGAGGGTACTTCTTTCCCTGACACTGTTCTCTTATCTCAATTAAAGTCTGAGATGTTCTCCAGTAATTATGCCCCAAGTTCTAGTCAATTGATAGATAATCTAGTAAGACAGTTTTTATGCATTGCTCTGCCTACGCTCCACAGTACAACCAGCAGTTGTGGCCCTATCATTATTCCACTTAAGAACGTGACTAGAGCACCTCAGGGATCCCTGATGCTCAGGTTTCCTTCCCAAAGAAATCAGAGCACATAAAAGGGGGCAATTACATGCCAGTACGGAGTTACGGCATGAGTAGGGAAGGAGCCTAAAGCAGTGACCTGGGAAGTGCTCCTTGGTCCACAGTGGAGCCTTTGAACACGTAGTTTAGACACAGCCTTTGAATCTTTGACCAAATAATTACTTAAAAGTATATTTTCAGACATGCTTCTACATAGGTACATGCAAAAGGGTGTGTAAAAACAGGTGTGCATGCAAGTTCCTTGTAAGAACACTGCACACAATCTGTCAAAATTCTTGTCTTCAATAATTCTAATAATTTGAAATATGTATGGAATATTCATTAACACCATTTTAATATCAAGGCGATGTAAATTCTTGACTCTCTTACATAGGACCTGCATAAGGAAGCATACACAACTTGGGGTACTGAAGGCAAATTTCTCTTAAAAAATTGAGCTTCATCATTCCTGTTTGCAATTCTTTATTCCCCATACCCAGTGCTAAAGATGTAGCTAACTCCTGACTACTTGTTCATACTGCTTTATCCAGGAGGACATTTTGGAGGCATTACCGAATTAGACTGTGGTGAACAATCTTATTGAAATGTGCATCTGATTTTGCCAAAGTCAACATAAAAGAGAACATATCATTTTTTAAAATCATGCCTGGGGCAATTGTTTAATTATACATAACCCCTACTGCATATGAAGTCCATCACACATTCCCAAAAATGGTATTTTCCATTCTACTGCAAAGCAATAAAAAGTTAGGAATACTATTTTTCTGTGGCCATCCAGTCTTCTGGAAGAGTCTTCGTTCCCTCTGATAATCATAATTCATGTTGTCAAAAAAAGAATATTTTATCTTTACATATGCAGCTCTAAAACGGGGAAGACGCAGGATATAGTCTGCTTAAATTTCATCTATCTTCAATTTAGGTATTTAACCATGTAGCCTGCCCAGACTATAACTCATTTTGCTTATTTTTTAGGACTGCCTAAACTTGGAAGTTCCGAAATTCATTAGGTCCTTCCCAACTTACCATAAAAGTTTCCATGCAACTAGACAGTGGTTACCAAAACATGTTTTTCTGAAAAAACAGGTGCCTTGCAGGAGCTTTCTTTCGATCAGGTTTAGGAGGATGGCTGAAGAGAGCAGAAGAACTCATTTAGAAGTGGGCGGATTTAGGGTATTAGATCATTTCTGAGGATGGCTTTTGTTTCCTTTTGTTTTTTCCTTCAATGGTGATGCATTTAGAACTGCATTTCCCATCCAATTGCAGAATCTGAAACCCTAAGATACCCTTCTTCCACCTCAATGACCTCAGCACTAGGCTGAGCTGAGAATCCCTCCTCCTGAGTGCATAGCAGCTGAGCTTAGTGTTCAAACACAGAAAGTGTTTCCCATTAAAATATTCTAAGTTCTGATTTGTTAGGGCACAACAAAAAACATCCTAAAGGCTCTGTAGAGCTTTGAGCGTAGGACACCCCCGTCCTTGGAGGGGTGTTCAAATCTGTAAGATACTGCGGAAAAGGTCCCTAAGTTCCATCACATGTCCATCCTAAGAAAAAGGTGAGGCTGCCTGCCTCTTAAGCAGATGGAGTGCCCAACATCTCCTCTGTTCTTAGGGGATAGGAGAGACACCTGGCAGAAGTGGCTGGATCACACTTTGGTGACAATGAAGGTCCTCAGGTGGAGAAAGAGAGGGGACCTGCCTTAGATAGACTGCTTTCCTTCTGCAGATGTTTTTTGCCTCTTCACAAAACGTGGGTAAGTAGTCACTGGATCACATACCTAATATCAAGTGTCTAAAACTTCACTGAGACTAGGCCAAACACAGTTCCAAAATTAGTGGACTGGATTCTACTTAAGTTTCTCTGACTAACAGCTTTGTGTCTGAGAGCTACAGAAGACTATTATATACTGCTAAGGCCTGTATCTTGAAAAAAATAAAGTCATTAAGGGAGAAATGATTGCATTTATCTTGTAATTTGCCATAGATCCATTCCCTACAATAAGACCCCAAACCCACGTGTCTTTTCAATGACCGGTAGAACAAAGCCCACCAGTCTAGGTGAGTTAATGCAGACCTAGTCCATAAAAACTTGAGCATGCATAACTGTTATGGACGTCTTTGAAATAAAAATTTAACTAGCACGTCACATAACCCAGTTTTCATAGGTGGGCTGAAGGCATATATATCTTACCGGGGGCTGCATGTTCTCATTTTCTTTTGTTTTCTTTTGCGGAGAAGACAAAATGCTTCAGGATATTCATGGACCCAAGAAGTTCCCATCTGTCTCTGTCTTTGGCCTCTGAGAAGTATCTTTGATTTTATACTGACGGTACTTTGTGACACTAAGAGCTTTACAGGAAGGACACAGTAGCCAATTTATCAAACTCACGTTGGCTGGACAAACATGCCAAGTTGGTGGTGAGTGAGCAATGCCATCTATGTTAAGGAATAGTACGGACCTAAACTTTTTTCTGCAACGCATTCCTACGCAGACCCGCACCTGAGTGCAAAACTGTAACCCAAAGTTATGGACACCACACAAATTCGGATTTGTGAATTCAGACATAGGCCTCAAGATTAAAGAAGTGCTTCTTCCTTCCCCACTTATTTCAAGAATTCTAATGACTGAGAAATCCCTAACTCCAGTGCCTGAAATTACTGATCATCAGGGCAGGGCTCACTGACTCTTCTTGATCAACAACCATTATTTAGATTTCTCTTCTTGATAGCCCTCTCTGACCTGTTGCTTTGACCCAATGACCTACATCCTTATGGTTTCTTGCACTTTTTCTTCTCTGCAACCAGTTTATGTCTGGATTCATTGTGTTCTCCCTTCTGTGAGAGACAGATATTTTATTCCTTTGGCGAGCTATACTCATCATTTCTCAAGTATGTGGGCACCTTGCACAAACAATAAATCTTCACATCCATGAAAACAGACAAAATTGAAATCTTTGTCATAATAAAAAAACCTGCTAGTAAAGGGACATAATTTACAACAATACAATAGTAAGTTGCTTTCCACAGTATTAATACTGTGGAAATTAATTCAGCCATTGGTGTTTGTTATGCTGCTAAAACGGTGCCATGTTCTAGGGAGAAAATGTCATAAGGAGAGAAACACTAAGAATAAAACCCCATGTAATATTCCTCAGTTACGATATCAGCTCATGAAATGTCTGTTCTTCAGAGCACTGACTGCCTTAAGCCATGTTTAACGTGAGCAATAATTACTGAAATGGGGGGAAAATCTCAGTTAAAGGCTTCAGATGTTCT